TTTTTGTTGTTGTTGTTGTTGTTGTTTTATTTATTACTAGAGGCCCCGTATACAGATTCATGCAACTGAAAGGAGATTAATTAGAAGAAATATTTTAGAGGCCAGGGAGGGACTGCGGGAGGTTGGCTCCAGGGCATGTCTGGCCTGTCTCACCCAGTCCTGATCACCGGATCCCAGCAGCAGGCTAACCTACTGGTCAGAGTATCTGCCCCTGTCATAGCAACCGGTCGAATAGTCAGACACTAGCATATTAGGCTTTTATATATATAGATAACATATGTCACTCCTGTTTGTTTTTCCTTTTTATTGAATTTATTAACAAAATTATATAGGCTTTAGTGGCACAATTCCACAACACATAATCTGTACATTGTATTGTCTGTTCACCACCCCAAGTCAAGTCTCCTTCCAATACCATTTATCCCCCTGGCATCACCACACTTTTGTCCATATCCATGAGTTTTTTTCTCCTTGTTTTTTTCTCAGTCTTTCCCACCTCCTCCCCCCCCTCCACCCCTGCCCCAACACCCGACCCTCATTCAGCTTACTCTCCTTCTCTCTCTATATTAATCTGTCTCTGTCTTTGTTAGTTCATTTTGTTCATCAGTTTCCACATATGAGTGAAATCATATGGTACCTCTCTTTCTCTGACTGGTTCTTTTTTTTTTTTTTTTTTTTTTTTATGATTTCAAGGTCCTTTTGTGTGTTTACTATCTCTTTATTGTGGTTCTCTCTGAGCTCATTCATTTTCTCCTAGCTTTCTTGAGCATCCTTACAGCCATTGTTTTGAATTCTATATGTGGTAGATCACTTGCCTCCATTTCTTTTAGTTTTTTTTTTCCTCATGTTCTTTCATTTGGGGCATGTTTCTTTGGCTCCCCATTTTGGCTGTCTCTCTGTATTTGTTTCTGTGTATTACGTAGATCTGCTGTGCCTCCCAGTCTTGGTATGGTGGCCTTTTTCAGTAGGTATTCTGTGGGGCTTGGTGACACACTCTCCCTTGTCACCTGAGCTAAGGTGCTTCAGGCATGTCTCTTGTTTGGCTTAAGTGAGCCTTCTTGTTGTATTTGAGTCCTGAGTGCTATTGGCCTGTCTTGATGGTGTTGATTCTCAGTCTAGCTGACTATAAGAATCAATCTTGACCATAGTGTACGAGTTTCTGTCTGGGGGCTAACCCCACATAGCACACAATTCACCCCAGCTGGGTATGGTGCCTGCTGACCTCTCCCTTCGGTTGTGCCACTTAATGGACTAATTTGGTCATGCTCTGATGGGGCCTAAAGCCTGTCACCTGGTGTGCTAGTTCTGGGGCTTCTTGTGAGGGACTCTAGTGCAGGTCAATGTCAGGCGCTCCTGTGACCAGCCCTGCATTACCAGTTTGGAGCTCCAAAGCAATTCAGTTTGTGGCTGCCTCTGTGGGGCCTGGATACACGGTAGGGGCCAAGCTGTGTTTTAAGCCTGGCTTCTACCAGCACCAAGCCTAGGGGCAGGTGAGTAAAAGGCTCAAGACACACCTCTGCCTCCTGGTTACCTACCAGGTTCAGTCACTGAAAATGCCTCTGGTAGTATTCGAATTGTGTCAGGTAGGTTCTTAGTGAATCACCAGGTAGGGGCAAGTAGGATTCATCGAGTTTCTAGGTTTGAGGCCATTCAACAAAAACCTCAGTGTACACCAAGGCCAACCACCACCTGCCTGGGAGCAGCAGATCTGTGTGGTGGGTGGAGTCTCAGGGAGTCGCGAGGGTGACGACAGCAGAATTCATCAGATGAACACAGACCAAGATATGGGTGTGTGGAGGGAGGGCTTTGCACAGGGTCGGTGGTGACTCTGGTCAGCGTGTGAGGGAAACATAGCCCTTGCCCTAGAGTCACACAGCTCCATCCTTCTCTGTTGTCTTCTCCACCCCTCGAATGTGCTCAGATCTTCTTGAGAGTTTCCCAAAGAAGTCTGTGCTGCTGCCAGACTGACCACAGACAGCCAGCTCAGCCGTGTAGAGCCACAGGAAGTCAGGTGGGTGAGGCTAGTGCACTCCCCAGGCTGACAGCATGGAGAACAGTGGAACCAGGAAAGACGGTGCCTGTGGATGGTGTCAGGAGGGATTTAGTACAGCTGTCCCTTTAGCTCTCTTTCCTAAGGCACACAACCCAGTGTCCCCCTGGATGACTCCAGTCCTCTCTGATCTGCCTTCCTTCTACCGGAACCCACAGTGAGTGGCCATGAATGAGATTTTTTTTTCCTCTGGCTCTTTAAGAGGGTGCCCGGGTTTCTAGCAAACTGCTGTCTCTCCCTGGTGGTCCGAATCGCCACTGATTTTCACAGCCACATCTTATTTGGGCTCGTCTTCCTGGCTCAGGTGCTCTGGGCTGGGGATCCCAATACGGGGTTGAGAACCCTTGCTCTTAAGGAAGGATCTTTGCAACTAAGAGATCCCTCCAGACTTCTATCTGCCACCTGTAGCCCTTTTCACATCTCGGCCCTTCCTACCAGTCTCTTCTGCAAATCCTTGATTATAAGGCTTATCTTCCACTGGTCTTCAGTGGGTTTTTCAGGATGATTGTTCTGTGATTTGTTGTAATTCCGATTCAGTCCTGTGAGAAGGTGAGTAATTTCCATCTACTTCACTGCCCTTATTTCAGCTGAATATCGTCAGTTACCTGTGTTTCTCTGTAGATAATGGTTTGCAGACAAGTAGCTCCTGATTTTTTTTGTTGCCCACTTAATTTTTAACCTATGACTCAGTATTGAATTCCAGGTGTGATCTCACCAGGCAGGTACAGAATGACTGTTGTCCCTTTATCTGGCCCCAGATTATAGTAATATTGTAACTGTAGTTGGCACTAATATAGCACATAGCTATATTCATCATAATAGCTATCACACTATTAGCTAAAAGTATATATTTATGCCAAATAAAAACCTTAAGTATTTTTCTCATGATCATCCATTAATATGTTCTACCATCCAGCCTTCTACCACATTTATGGCATTTTGGGGTCTACGTGCAGGACTTTCTGTTTGTCTCATATACTCCTCATGGTTTTGGTTTTTGTCTTGTCTTGACAAACAATTATGGCTGACTGCAGTTGGATGAGGCAGAATGAGAGGAACTGAGAGTTAGAATTAGACCCACTAAACAAAAGGAGGGAAGGGCTGACGAGTTGTATAATCAAGACCCACATCCTAAGAGGAAGTCGCATCCATATAATATGATGTTCAGCGAGGATGCAGGGAGAAAGTGGTGCTCCAGTCCGGCAGTTAAAATCAGTGTCATGGATGCCCTAACAAGTGGGAGAGCAAGAAGGTATGGGGCTGAGGATCAGACAATAAGGAGTACCGTATTTTTCGGACCGTAAGACACTCCGGACCATAAGACGCACCAGTTTTTAGAGAAGGGAAATGAAGAAAAAAAGATTCTGAAACAAATAGTGTCCTAAAATATTTTATGTGCATTAAAACCCAACATCACAGTCATAAACACATGTAATCAACCCTGTAAAGTAAACAGCAGCATTTAGAACCATTTTAGAGCCGGGCAAGCACACAGAGACCACACAGAGCCAGGCAAGTAAAAAAACTTTTTTTTTAAAGTATATGTGTAGGCTATATTTGGACCATAAGACGCAGGGACTTTTTCCCCCACTTCTGTGGGGAAAAAGTGCGTCTTATGGTCCGAAAAATACGGTATGTTGGAGCTGACCAGCAAAAGAGAGCACACTGATTAACAGATAACAGCATTTGTAAGGAATTCTGGGGTACAGGGCAGGATGCCGGTCTCTAGAAGGGGGACACATGCGCTCAAAAAAAGGCTTCCTTGGGGGTGCTACCAGTACTAGGATATCTAGAAAGAGAAACTCAGACCTAGGAAAGATGCTAAGACTTCAGATTCAAGAAACTACAAGAGAAGCCCATGAACATAGGTTAGAACTGAACCACCAGCAAGAGATAACCATGCCTACTATGGTTTTTCTTCTTTTTTCTTGCCAAATGCACTGTTAGGTTCAAAATGTCCTTTTATCTCTCTTGCTCTGTGCCCTCTTATAGAAGGTCTGGATTTTACTAATTAACAATTTTTAAAAGTGATTTAAAAATATTTTTAAATGACTTAATGTTTTATGTAATGCCTCCTCCTGAACTTTACATAAACCATTTATATAAGGAACATTGAGTACTTTTAAAGAAACTGAAAAATCCATCTTGTTTTTCTGATGGCAAAGATAATTTAAGAATAGATTATGCCCTTCATCGTTTATCCTATTGTATTTTGGCATGGAAATGTTAAACATGAGAGTCTCTGTAGTAGAATATTGCTCTAACTGGATTTTTATTCCCAATCCTTTTTTAAGCCATTACTATTGTTTGTCAGCTTTTAAGTCCTCTGAGTTGGACATGAATTTTAGTTACATCACAAGAGCTGGGGGGCGGGGGGGGGGGCGGGGGACTGAAGGGAGGAGAGGAACGAATGCATTAAATTACATTTTGTTTTGAACATAAAATTGGCAGATCCCTCTAGGATTTTCAAAAGGGATAATTTTATAAGACAGTGCTTGCTCAAAAGAGGTTCTTCTTAGTAACTGAAACACAACTTTTAGGCTAAAGCCAATGCTCCAGGCGTGGGGGACAGGGCATGGAACAAAGCTTACTCAAACCGTTTTTGGGAGGTTGTAAAGTGTAGCTAGGAACAAGTAGCATAAGAACAAGTTGTCCCAGTGTTGATTGAAGAAAATCCGGTTTTTAATAGCTCAGCATGGAGTCAAAATGCAGGAGGAAATGAGACTGTTGCTTCACATCCTGCCCCCGTTCGGTTATCACCAAACAGTATCTCACCTACGGCGCTTTAAAGTGGACATGATCTAATGAAACCAGGTGACTTCTGTATTCCCTGCCTTCAAGGGTTTGCCCCTGAACTGAATCCTACGCAGGATATGTGCATATGAACGTTAGCAATTAAATGCTCATTTTGGATACTTTTAGCTCAGCCCTTTTTATTTTTCTCTTCCAGTTTCTTTATTCCTCCTCCAAGGGAAAGTCATGATCACACTAACGGAGCTAAAATGTTTAGCAGACGCCCAGTCATCTTATCACATCCTAAAACCCTGGTGGGACGTCTTCTGGTATTACATCACCCTGGTCATGCTGCTGGTGGCCGTGCTGGCGGGCGCGCTGCAGCTGACGCAGAGCCGGGTTCTCTGCTGTCTTCCGTGTAAGGTGGAATTCGACAATCACTGCACCGTGCCCTGGCACCTCCTGAGAGCCAGCGCGAACGCGTCCTCCGACCTCGGGCCGCCGCTTCCGCTCCCCCTCCGAATCCAGAACGACCTCCACCGCCAGCAGTACTCCTACATCGACGCCGTCTGCTACGAGAAGCAGCTCCACTGGTTCGCCAAGTTCTTCCCCTACCTGGTGCTCTTGCACACGCTCATCTTCGCAGCCTGCAGCAACTTTTGGCTTCACTACCCCAGCACGAGCTCCAGGCTCGAGCACTTTGTGGCCATCCTGCACAAGTGCTTCGACTCCCCGTGGACCACCCGCGCCCTGTCGGAAACGGTGGCCGAGCAGTCGGTGAGGCCGCTGACGCACTCCAAGTCCAAGGTTCTGCTTTCGTCCTCAGGGTGTTCGGCCGACGTGGATACCAATAAGCAGTCACTGCCCTACCCGCAGCCCGGCATGGAGTCAGCTGGCATAGAAAGCCCGACCTCCAGCGTCCTGGACAAGAAGGAGGGCGAGCAGGCCAAAGCCATCTTTGAAAAGGTGAAAAGGTTCCGCATGCACGTGGAGCAGAAGGATATCATTTACAGAGTGTATCTGAAGCAGATAATAGTCAAAGTCATCTTGTTTGTCTTCATCATTAGCTATGTTCCATATTTTTTAACCTACATCACTCTTGAAATCGACTGTTCGGTTGACGTGCAGGCTTTCACGGGATATAAGCGTTACCAGTGTGTCTACTCCTTGGCAGAAATATTTAAGGTCCTGGCTTCCTTCTATGTCATTCTGGTTATACTTTATGGCTTCACCTCCTCCTACAGCTTGTGGTGGATGCTGAGGAGCTCCCTCAAGCAATATTCCTTTGAGGCGTTGAGAGAGAAAAGCAACTACAGCGACATACCAGATGTCAAGAATGACTTTGCCTTCATCCTCCATCTGGCTGACCAGTACGATCCTCTTTATTCCAAACGCTTCTCCATATTCCTGTCGGAAGTCAGCGAGAACAAACTGAAGCAGATCAACCTCAATAACGAGTGGACGGTGGAGAAACTGAAAAGTAAGCTGGTGAAGAACGCCCAGGACAAGGTAGAACTGCATCTCTTCATGCTGAACGGTCTTCCAGACAATGTGTTTGAGCTGACTGAAATCGAAGTGCTCAGCCTGGAGCTGATTCCTGAGGTCAAGCTGCCCTCCACCGTGTCCCAGCTGGTCAACCTCAAGGAGCTCCATGTGTACCATTCGTCTCTGGTGGTAGACCATCCCGCCCTGGCCTTCCTAGAGGAGAATTTAAAAGTTCTCCGCCTGAAGTTTACTGAAATGGGGAAAATTCCACGCTGGGTATTTCACCTGAAGAATCTCAAGGAACTTTATCTGTCGGGCTGTGTCCTCCCTGAGCAGCTGAGCACCATGCAATTGGAGGGCTTTCAGGACTTAAAAAACCTGAGGACCCTCTACTTGAAGAGCAACCTGCCCCGGATCCCACAAGTCATCACAGACCTCCTGCCTTTCCTGCAGAAACTGTCCCTCAATAACGAGGGAAGCAAACTGGTTGTGCTGAACAACCTGAAAAAAATGGTCAATCTGAAAAGCCTAGAGCTGCTCAGCTGTGACCTTGAACGCATTCCACACTCCATTTTCAGCCTGAACAATCTGCATGAGTTAGACCTAAAAGAAAACAACCTTAAAACTGTGGAGGAGATCATCAGCTTTCAGCATCTCCAGAACCTTTCTTGCTTAAAATTGTGGCACAATAACATTGCTTATATTCCTGCCCAAATTGGGGCATTATCTAATCTAGAACAGCTGTCTTTGGACCATAATAATATTGAGAATCTACCCCTGCAGCTTTTTCTATGCACTAAACTACATTATTTGGATCTAAGCTATAACCACCTGACCTTCATTCCAGAAGAAATCCAATATTTGAGTAATTTGCAGTACTTTGCTGTGACCAACAACAATGTAAGTAAATTTCTTCTCTTTATTTAGTCATTTGAGTGTCTGCTGTTGCAGTGTGTAATGCAGATAGAGAAAATGGACATTAAATCACACTAAGCATCCTCTGAGAACAGCCTGACCAGCACTTACTAGACATGTGGCCATGGACAAATTACCAAAACACTGAGCAGCAGTTTTTACGCTAACTTGCAGGTGTCAGGGAGATTTTTATGAAAAACTGTATAAGCACTCAGCACAGTTCCTTATATGTAGTAGTTGCTCAACATGTTTTCCTTATTCTCTTTTCCTATATTTTACATAAACACCACAGTTGAGTATGTTAAACTAATTAGGTATAACAGAACTTACTTTTCGTTTTGGAAAGGTCTTAACTACTTAGAAAAGTTTCATAAAGCTTTTCGGCGCTCTGTCATAGGAGCAGAAGTTTTTGGTAAATATGCTGTGAGCATGAGTTATTCATAAATCTTTTTTTGTGATGCGGTAAGGCAGATTTGAAATCTATGTGCATGTCTAGAAAGGCAGAGCGAAATGAAAGGCCTGGTTCCATAATGCAACACTAGGGCTTCTTGGAAGCTTTTTCCAGCACCCATGCTTTACAAATGAACCATAATTTGCAACAGTAAAGCCAAGTTAAGGAAAACTTAACATCTCTGAAACAAGAAAAAACAAAATAAATGACTAGTTTCCTAGGTTAAAATGTGAAGGAGGAGGAAAAAGAAAAAAAAAATCTATTCTAGCCAAACGCGGCAAGAAAGTGATGGTCATGTCCAAAAGAGGGAGGTGGGGAAACCTGGAACTCAGGTCTGCCAGGAGAGGAAAGAGGTCTTCCTCTAGTGGGAAATGGGAGCTGTTTTCTTGTATCCCACTCACAAATGCGTTATCTCTTAGACCTTTTATCATTCATAGCTCATGCTAAATATAGCCGTGATCATGGTGTTGGCTAATAAACATATTAATCACCTGGTATTATATTTAAAAGCCATGGATTGCCAGAGGAATACCAGAAAGTCAGGGAGTGAGGGCAAAATTCATGGCACAAAATTCATTCACAGTTTAATGAGGGCTCTGATTTTTAGAGCTCTTAAGACTTTACACGTATGTAAAAGGCTAGAGCCCATTCTTAGATAAGAAATCTTCAGGTCTTAAAGGATAAGGAGATTTTAAAACTCTAGGCTTCACTTAGATTAATAGTGCTTCACTTCAGGATTGCCTGAAGGGTTTGTGCCCCACTCCGGGTTCCCATTTCAGTAGGTCTGGTGTAGGATCCAAGCATTGGCCGTTTTAAAATGTCCCAGGTGAAGCTGATACTGTTAATTTTATGACCATACTTTGAAGTCTGTGGCTCTAGAGATTTATCATTAGTGTTGTTAAATTATGCAGTTAACTAGTATTAATATTAATAGAACAAGCAAAAGACTTCTCATCTTTCCCGAAAAAGCTGTCCAAAGATTGAATGAACAATTAAGAAGGGAGAGGTGATTTTCTTATTAATAAAACTGTCTAGATATAGATTATCAGTCTCTTGGTAGGAAGGTTGTTAAAGGGAATTAGAGATTCAGATTTCATGTGGAATTTAATTTTAAGGTTCCTTCTAATCTTGATATCCTCATGATTCTATGAAGTAGACCAAAATATATATAAAAATTAGAAAATAGCTTTAGCCAATTTGGCTCAGTGGATAGAGCATTGGCCTGCAGACCAAAGAGTCCGGGGTTCGATTCCAATTAAGGGCACATGCCTGGGTTGCTGGGTTGATCCCCAGTGGGGGGCATGCAAGAGGCAGCCAATCAATGATTCTCTCTCATCATTGATGTTCCTATCTTTCTCTTTCCTCCCTTCCTCTCTAAAATCAATAAAAAATATGTATTTTTTAAAAATAAAATAATGTATCAAATTCAATGCTTAAGTATTTACATATGCATATACTCAGAAATGTGAGTTGATTCATGTATTTGGAATAAAAGTTGGTAAAGATTCCTGAGAGAAGTTTTAAAGATTCTTCTAAGGACTTAAAAAATGTATCACATTCATAAATGAGGCAATAAATACTAACTCTGGTGTTAAGACCTCTTTTTTGAAAGAACATTGGGTAGCTAATATTATCACTGAAAAAGAATTAAACTTGGAAAACAAGCACCAAGTTAGTTAGCTAGCAAAAAGCACCACAGCCAACATCATAGTACAAAAGCAAAATGGTAGAGATACTGTGCCACCGACCAACCCTGGGCACAGGGCTGCCCCTGAAAACTCGATTCTGCTGCCACTGCAGCCCTTGCCCTTCCACCAAGTAGGTTCTTAGTGAGTTCTGCTTCTTGGTGACACTACCCCAATTCAAAGTCCAAGTCTGAGCATTGACTGATAGAGTTATGAATGCTCGTACTTGAGCACCAAGATAAGATAGGGAATTCTCTAGATAAGCAAAGCTATCGGGCAGTTCCCCAAATGATAGACATTCAACCGGAGGGCACTCCAGAGTTTCTTCCACAGGATAGTAATGGGGGTTATCACAAAGTATTCATAATTTCTTTTTATCATGTTTTTGCAGCAGGATACTTCAGAGCTTTTAAAATATGAGTATGCATTATGCTTCTCTAAGAGGGAGGTATAGTGTGCAATGTTTGTCAAACTTACTTGAGCAAGACACTTTTTTCATAGTAACGCTGAGTTTCATGGAACATATCCTGAGAACGCTGGAGGCGGGAAATCTAAAGAAGTTAGAGATCACACACAAAGGACTGCAACAGACATGCCCAGATGTAATAAGAAGTGAGGACATTTAACGAAGTGGGCAGAATGGAGAGTGCCTTGAGGTCTGCAAGCCAAGTTCATATTTGATTCATTGGAAAGTAGCTGTGGTGAGACTTGAGCTTGGAAGTTCTAGTTAGCTTGTACTGGTAGTTTCAAAGATGACTCTGATTATAGTGCATAGAAGATTGGACCCTGGCCAGAAAGCTCAGATGGTTAGAGTGTTGTCACAATATACAAAGGTTGTAAATTTGACCCCAGGTCAGAGAACATAAAAGATTGTGAATTTGATCCCATTTATGAATTCATAAATAAGTGAAACAAATCAGTGTTTCTCTCTCTCTCTCTCTCTCTCTCTCTCTCTCTCTCTCTTCCTCTCTCTCTCTCTCTCTCTCTCTCTCTCTCTCTCTCTCTAATCAATAAATAAAACTTTTTAAAAACCGAGGAGTTGGGAAAGGACAGTCAAAAAACAAGACCCCATGAAAAAGTTTAATCAGTTATGATTTACAATTAGGAATACAGATCTAAACGAAGAGACATAGACTCATATCTGAAAGATATGGGAGCCAAATCTACCCACAGCCTGAGCTAAGAATGGTTCAATTTTTTAAACAGTTGGGAGTAAAACTCAAAAGAATAATGATATTTATCACACATAAAAATTATATGAAATTCAAATTTCAGTAGTTCATTAATAAATTTCATTGTTCTCATTTGTGGGCCTATATTACAAAAAAACTTATGTTCAATTGTTATTACTATATTTTGACTTTCATCACTTAAATCTATATGAATTTTTTTCTCTCTGGTTATATAAGCACCCACAAAACCTAAGATATTTGCTATCCAGCCCCTGCTCTAGTCCACTGCCCTCCTTTTCCTGATACTAAACCTTAGGCTTCTAGTAATTTGAACTGAGGTCTGAAGCTACCTGAAGATGGAACCCAAGCGATTCAACCCCTATTCTAGAGCTCTTTCTAGTGCATCTTAGATACATCAGTCAAACTGGCGTTACTACGAAGAGGGTGTGTGTGGAAGACAGGAGAGGAAGAGCAGCAGCCATCTCTGTCCCTGTGCTAAAGTGTCATCGGATGCTCATCCATAAGCAACGTGATGGACAAGCACAAGGAAGGGAGCCAGGGGGGATTAATAGCTTCACTCAAATCTTGTAAACATAGGTCTTCTGCATTTAAAGCATTTCTTGTATTAACTTAAAGACATCTAGCCAAAAGGTGAACAATGTGGAAATCTCTCCTTATTTCACACAGTAATGCGATAGGATGCAGAAGGTCACTTATGGGGCAGGGCTTATTGTTTTTACCATCACTGCTTAGAAACGAAATCTTCAGCTTTGTTTCTTGAAATGATTAGAATTCTGAAGTAAGGCCCGGCCTCTGGGAAACAGTGGAGTATTTCATTATCTACGTCAGCCATAGATATAGAATCACCCTCCTTCGGATGTCCTGGGGATATCAGTACAATTTTGTTGAAAATATTTGGTTGCTAGAGAATTCTAGGATATAGAGTGATATTGTAGTCATTGGTTTTGTTGTTCATTTTGTAGTTTATTATATGTGTATATTATAGTTTAGTCTATAAAACCTTCCTGTTTATGAACTTTATTACCACTCTTTTTGAAAAGAAATCACTGGTCCACCAAGGTAATTCTTTTCTTTCTAGTTCACATATTATATAGTCTAAGAAAGAATATGCTGAATGAATTCAGTATAAGTAAATGCTATACAAAATTTTTATAAATAAAATTCGATGGCCCAGTCAAAAAAATGTTTGGTGTTCTTGTAAGCTTCGTGCAGACTATTATTTAAAGATATAAGTAGATTTTTCAGGATGAGATTGCAGAGTTAAAAGGAGGTCTTGGGTCTCTAACATAGCTGCCCAGCCTCCTTTAGCAAAATCGAATCCCAGTAGATGAGTTAGGGCTTGTGCCTTCACGGGTGCTGATGCTGAGAAAAGGCCTGAGATGGACACTGGCTCTGGGGAAGTGGTTCCATAACCACTGCTCTGACTCACTGTCACGGCAGCAGCACAGACATGTTGACAGCCGGGCCTCAGAGGCTCACTTCCTTTGCCTTGTGAAATCCCTCTGCTGGAAGTCGCTAAAATCACAGCGTCTGAGATTTGGAAGAAGATTGGTGAAAACCTGATAGTGCTGACAGCCCAACAGGAGAGTGGGGGGCCATGGCTTCAGGGTATCCACCCACTAGGCAGTCAGTTCCAATGAGCAAGGTTCTTAATGGCATCTGAAAGCAGACCAAAGAAGTGAGATGTGGGTCCCCAGATGCACATCTGGTTAGAGCTCTCTTCTTCATACCATCCATTACAGGCTAATTATTTATGTAATTGTTTAATATCTTTCTCTCCCATTAGACTACTCTTTCTCAAATGGGGACAACTTTGTCCCCCAAGAGACATTTGCCTGGAGACATGGTTGGTTGTCACATCTGGGGAGGGGAGTGGCACCAGCATCTAGCAGGTGGAAGCCAGGGATGCTGCTAAACATCTTATACTGTTTAGGGCACCCACCACACAAAGTATTATCCTATCCAAATGTCAACAGTGCAAGGTTAAGAAACCCTGCGTTAGACTAAGATTCTTAAAGACACATCTGTCATACTCAGCACTTTATCCCCAACACCTAAGCACAAAAGGAGGCTTTCAGCACCCATTTACAACCTACGTATTGCTTAGGCACCGGCAGGCGCTATCCGGAGCATATTGCACAGGACTTAATGTTTCCTCTACCCATGTCTCACTGACTCCACTTCCAGCTGCCAGTGTCTCTGAAGGGGTGACATTTCTTCTGTCTCGTCTCTCTGTCATATCTCTGTGTTGAAATCTACATATGCACGGTGATGCATTTGCATTCTTGAGAAGAGGTGGAAATAAAAGGGTAGATTTTTTTTCATCGCTTGCACCTAGTATTTTGATGGACAGTGATGAGCTACAGTGAGAGCTGGTTTTAGTGACGGTGGCCGTTAGGTTTATTATCAGCACTCTTCATTACTGAGTGTACATGTGGGGGATGGAGGGCAGGTGCCAGCATAATGAGCATTTATGAATATAGTATGGTAATTCTTTAGTTTGTATAGAACATGTTTATCTTTTGCGGCTGTCCTCCTCCAGACTGCTCCTATCCTCCTTCTTTCTAACACAGCCACTTCCGGGACCAAGAGCCATGTTTCATGGTAGCAAATATGCCCTGACCCCACCTTGTATCAATACGTGGAGTGTTGTAGATTAGTGAGGTGTGTGCAGCCCAGCTCTGCTTGGCCCAAACTCACCCTCAGTGGCAGAGTGAGAGTGAAGGCACTGGGCATGCTCCACTCTCCTGTGGACCTCTTTCCCCATCAAACCCTGCCTCATATACACCTGGTGGCTCTCGTAGAAATTCACACGCAGCCTATCCACCAGGTAGGGGAGCGGTTCCTTTGAGTGGCTCCATGAGTTCACTTAATTGCAGGCTATTTATCATATTTTAAATTATTTCTCTGTGCTACATTATTTAATCGAACCATCCAGAAAACAGGAAGAGGGGTAAAGAATATACTCGTGCATATGTATCAATAGAGGGCAATGAAATATGTTATCATACGTATCTTCTTGTCTCTGCTTCTGTCGCTTTTTTTTTTTTTTTTAACAGAATAATGTTTTCAGTCTGTACTGTGAAACCCTAAGGAAATAGCCTCATGTCTGTTCTCAGGATGTTTTTGAGGATGTTGCTTGTTATATAAGACAGTAAACTCTTCACAAGAACTCTTGAGAGCAATTTATTTCTGATCTAGGACTCAAGAAAAATTATGATTTTCCTGAGTTACTAGCTTGTCTCTCCCCCCCACCCCACCTCCACCCCTTTGGGACAATGAGTATGTAACTGGTTAGGTTTTCTCTGAGAATTGCTTATTAGAATGTTCGGAGCCAAATGTGTTGCCCACCCACGTGTAACAAGGGTTTAAAAGTTTATGGTAGCCTCAATTCTGCCTCCATGTTGAGATGTCCTTGTTTTTCCTTTATATTTTCCATCTGCTTCAAATTTATCATCAATGTTACATGTAAACATCAGAAATGTTTTTGGAAAAGGGTAAAGGTATACATAAGTAATTGTATTCTAACAGGCCATCCAAAACTGGTCTTACTGGCTTCTTTCTTTCCGTTTCCAGATTGAGATGCTACCAGATGGGCTGTTTCAGTGCAAAAAGCTGCAGTGTTTACTTTTGGGGAAAAACAGCCTGATGAGTTTGTCCCCTCTCGTGGGTGAGCTGTCGAACCTTACTCATCTGGAGCTCATTGGTAATTACCTGGAAACACTTCCTCCTGAACTGGAAGGGTGTCAGTCCCTAAAACGGAGCTGCCTGATTGTCGAGGAGAACTTGCTCAATACTCTTCCTCCCCCCGTCACAGAACGCTTGCAGACGTGCTTAGATAAATGTTGACCTAAAGAGAAAACTAAAAGTGTGCCCCAGGGCTTTAAATGAGAACTGAAATTTCCTAACTTATAAAGATTTTTTTAATGGGTAATAATTATGACTAACTTTAATCAGATGTTTTATTAAAGCCTCTCAGTGTCTAAGTAAACAGGTAAAAGGTGTTAACACTGAAATGAGTTTTGTGAATAATCGATCTTTTACTTATTGACTTGTAAGGGTGGAATGGGGGACATGAAATTATTGAGTGTCCACCCTGCAGTTATTACCTTGAAGATGATTCTTTCCTCTCCCTCCCCAGCCCCATTACTTATTTGCACACTTGTTTTAACTGACATCTTGTTTGGCTATTTATCAGCTAGACCATAAACTCATCAATATAAATGTCCTTGATGTACACTTAACACTGTCTTTGATTTATGTTCTTAATTATTTTTAGGCAGGGTGTCTGGTGCTTGGCAGAATTTTTTCTTGTTTTTTTACTTCCTGTGTCAGCTTGATTGAGTCTTCCTTCCTTCATCTGGTTTTCTCTTAACAATGATGAACCTGAGAAAGTGCCTGCTTTGGGCCTCTGCATAGGACAGGAGCAGGGTACTTAGGACATGTCACCCTTGGGACATCCTGAAAATCCATGTATTCTCCAAGATTTATTCTTGTGCATCATCAAAGCTTTTTTTTTTTTATTTGCTCGTGTTTATATTAAATGTAAAACTTAAATATTTTTATTGCATAATCTTGGATTCAAAAATCTGTGGGAATCATTTTTGTAAGGTACAGAGAACACATGCATTTCTCTAAGAATTTACTATTAACATGCTTGGGGGTTTTTTGCCTGCTTATGATTCTCATGTTTGTGTGCATTCTCCAAAATGTTTTTGTACTCTGCAACTAATTACTTTTGGGTAACAAAAAGCCTTGTGTTTCATGCCCTAAAATATGTAAGGGTTTCCTTATAAAAGGATGGCCACATCATCTACCTCTCTCTTCCCTTGTTGCTGTGCTATTATCGTACGGGTACAATTCTTACTAACTTCAGAAACTGTGATGGAGGGGAGAGGTAGAGATTTCAAATCTTTAAAACTGACTTCAACAAAATATCTTGTAGAAATTAAGAGTTAAACCAAAACACTTTACTTTCTTCTCCATCTGCATGATCTGTAGATATGATTATAATGTAAAACACTCAGCCTCTATTCATTGTTTAAAATGAGTGCTCAGAGCTCACAAAGAAATAAACCCATTTAACTGGAATTCATCTCATGCCTCTGGTTAACTTTTCTGGAATACAGTTTGCTCTTTTTATATAAAGAGCCTTTGTGTTTGGCCTTTTACCGTGCATATGGTTAACATGAAAATCAACGGACTTATTTTGGGTAAATGTTAGATTTTTAATGTGTTTTTCTCTAGGCATTACGATGTCATCCAATTTTTGGTGTGACTATGAAGTAATTGATTAACCGCACCTAGACAAAACTGGAAAACACTATGGGTAAAGAGTACCGTAAACATGGAGTTGGGATGTTTGCTGGTTTTTTTTTGCTTTGCCCATTCCAAAAAGGTTAAAGTGCGTCTTTATAACAAAATGTAGCTTCCCTCTCCTGCCACACACACCTGGACTGAATCTCAGAGAAAGAATTGTTTGCGTCAAGTGAATTTGAATAATATTAGCTATAAAAATTATAAAACACCAAAGGCTGCCTAAACCTTATGGTTTATTCTGAATGAGAAGGAATGGTGTAAAAATGTAATTCTTACCAAAACTTGCCTTTAGTCAGAACATTCAAGTTCTCAGGGACCCAGGCATAACTGATGAAACTTTCCTCTAGGACTTCAGAAAACAGATTCTGACTATATCTAGAGTTCTTTTTGTCATTTTCTTATTTTTAATGTGAGTTGATGGTCATTTTCATATTTCACAATAGAATTGTCATGTGTGTTTTTGTCGTGTTAGGTTAGGATTATCTTAAGTTTTGGATGTGAACGAGATACATGAAGAGGTGTTTAAATGTTCTCAGAATCTTAAATGATTGGGGACAAATAATTAGCCATAATTTGTATGAAAATTTTCATCCTCTTTTCTAAAGAGTTTTCAAAACGAATTTTAAATTGTTATTTTCCTGACAAACTAGTTCTCCCTGGCTTGTCACTGGTTGTATTCACATGCAAAAGGCATTGGCTGAATCTTCCTTATCACCACTCTCAATTTCTGGAAGTGAGTTACTCTCAGGATTAAGAGTGAATATTGTAAGCCTCTTTCCAAACATAAGGGTATAGTAACTGGTGCAAACTCTGTTCTTGATGCCATTAAAAAGTTCTCAGATTTCTTTTTTCATCTTTACACACCAGTGTTTAGGTAGCTTTTGAAATGATGTTGCACCAGTGCAATGAACTCTGAGACCACCACCTGACGTACAAAAGGGGTTTAACGCCACTTTTCCTGCGTGGTTGGAACAGATCATTTTACATGTGTTCATATTCACTTAGGGGGGATTTAAGTGGAGAAAACGAAGTTGGTTCACTTAAATTTTGAGACTTTAGTTGGCATTTGATTTCCAAAACTGTGCAGTACATTTTCCAAAAAATAAACATGGATGTTATTCAGAACAAAGTTAGTTAATGGCATTGGTTCATTTTATTTGCATGCACACACATAGACACACACAGCTACCTATATATGCAAAATGTAACATTAGTCTTGGATACGTTTAGTATTTGTTCCCAAAATTGCAAGAGGATATTTTTTATTTCTCGTAGTTATGGAGCGTTTTTTCTCTTAGTTATATTTTTTTTTTTAAAAACTGACTGTTCAACCTTAGCCTGAGAACCTAAGCAGTTTTAAGCATTTATAGACATTTGTGTTCTTTTCCTAACCTACATCAGGGTACCTGTGTGTGACACATAGATAGTGTGTTTTCATTCTTCACCCTCAGTCTTAATTTCCCCCTGGATGTCACCATATTTCACTGTTCCTTAACGCATGGTTGTGTGAAACAGGGTAGAGATCCTCATAATCTCAGCACTGTGGCATACACAGCATGTGTGTGCTGTGGTGAACTGCAGTGAGCTATTTGCAGACCTTTGTTTGATGATGAAAATACTTGTTTTTGTTCTTCAAGTGCTTCATGATTCAAATTTTATATGTTTAATTAAAACTGCATAATATTGATGGGTTCAGAAACTATTATAATAAACAATTCTGTGGCTTTATAGCTTTATTTCCTTGTATTTTCAATAAAATGCTCTTTCCATCTTTGTTCTCTTATCATTGTCCTATATACATAAGGTATTTTGTTATCTCCCTCCACTCACACTCAACTCCTTAAATTTGATCAGCACTTGTACAGTAACAATATATTTGTGCTAGGGAGCTTGCAGTGAAACCTGGTGAGAAGCCAGAGCCTAGAATCATGCCCAGTTGAGTAGTTCTACTTTTCCCAATCCTGCAGTAATTAGAGCTAATCTAATGGTTCCCCATCTCTCCCAAAAGCATGAGAATATAACTGTAAGTCCGTTTTCAGAAGCTGTATAATGCATCAGAATCTGTGTTTATTTTTTCTGGAAACAAGAGGAAGGCTGATGGGAGAGGGGAGGAGTTATTTTGTACCCTTGTTTGAATTATGATGACACAGACATGAAACTTGCAAAATGCCCTAAATATAGTTCTCATCTTCAGCCGGATATGAAAGCCGAAGCAGTGAAAAAACAGCAGTCCTATTTAATTGCTTTCTTCCTGTTTCTGGTCCATCACCTCTCTATCCACTTGGAACTACCTATTAAATTCCTTTGTTGGTAATGTACTACATTCTCTTAAACTTTTTTTTTTTACATGAACAATTTCATCACCATAAAAGCATTAACATAGAAAATGTAAGCCAAAGCACTGAATTGAGATGGTTTCCAGTTGAACTTAATTATACTCAAGTTTTGCATTTGACTTGTATAATACACTACTGCTGAGAAAAACAATTATGAGTGCCTCCTGCATGTCATATATTATCAACAGAGATGGTGCAATTTAAAAAATACAAAGGAGCATAAAATTAGAATGGATGTCTCTGTGCATATATGTGTTGTGTATAATACTAAATATGTTTATCAAATGTTTCACTTTCAGAAAAGTACTGGGCCAATCTGAAGTAGAGCCATTTTCTTGTTAGCGTCCCAGTGAAGGGTAGCATTGCTTATTTTATCTTCGTCCCATATTTTGGAACATACATAATCATCTTTTGCCTCTGGCAATAAATTATTAGAAAATGTAAGACTTTGGCTTGAATTGAATGTTTTCAGCCCTCAGGTTTGCCATGAAAACCTGCATTTTGGTGGTAAATCCCTTTGCCTGAGATCCATTAGTTTTGGTACACTTTACTGTTTTTAAAGTATGTTTTGTGTAAAAGGAAGATTCAACTTTTATAACAAATGGCAAATAAAAACAGATTAAAAGTTGAAAGAAGTTGACTGTACTGTTTCTTACCAATGTCTGCCCGTCAGTGCCCAGGTTCCCAAAGTGATTCCCTCCCTCCTTCCTCACCTCCCCGTGCAGCCAGCTGTACGGTTACATAACTCACCAAATGATAATTTTAGGTTTACACATGAATCTCATAACAGTCGCATGAGTGTTCAAAATAAGCTACAATTGTCACAAAATAGCAAGCCCCTAAAAGAGCTGGATTGATCCATGAATGCCAGAGTGGGAGGGGAAGGTGGAACTTGTCACTCTCCTAAAAGGTTCATCTTTCCAACAGCTGCCTCCTGGAGGACCTGAGGTCACCAGCCAGCCCATCTCTGCCTCTCAGAAAAACACAGAGCTGCAAGATGACATTTTCAGAAGGTTTTGTAAAGGGAGTAAAAACAGAATTATTGGGAAAAATAGACACATAGTCATTTGACCTTTATGTTTGTTTTATTTTTAAATCATTATTTTGATATATTTCTCCCCACCACCACCCCTCTATTTAGATTACACACACACACACACACACACACACAGTCAGGAACACATCAGAAAGCTGATACTCAGATCTTTTCTCTGCTGAAGGACAGAACTTGATACGTACTGAGCCAGATTATGAAGGAAATTAACTTCTGAAACCAGATGGACATATTTTTTCCTGGAAAAGTGGTTCTTCAAGACGACTTTCCTTTACCTCCCTATATGTAGAGAAAATGAACCCTGCACCAGACCCAAGACATTCGCAGCCACCCAGGGACTGCTGGGCTTTTGGGGATGCTGGTCCTGTACTAACGGCCTGCAGGGCGGCAACATGCCCCACGAGCACCATATTAAGTGTGGCTTTGTATGCTCTTCAGCATTCACTTCCACATTGCAAAATGGCTTATCAAAAACGTGAAGGAGCTGCCTGTACGGGGCGGGGGGAGGGGAGGGGGGGGTCGTGATGTGGTCGAGGGCACAGTGTGAGCCTGGAGCTTCAGCTTCTGTGGGGCTTCTGCCTCTTTCTCCTCTGGATTATCTGAAATCCTAGCTTGTCAACTCTGTCCCCCTCATCTCTGAGGTCTGGAGGCCAGCTGTTCACCCAAAAGTGCAAAGGTACTCAAGCCACATGTTTACAGAGGAATATATAACTATAGGCCAAAGAAGGAGATCAGGAAAAAGTACTCAGTTCTTTTTAAAATTCAAATCTCTTCTCACCTTGTGTTATCTCATCATCCTCTAGAGTTATTATAAGGCCTGCCTCATAAATACCAATGATTCTATAGGACTGTGTGTTACTAAGAGCTTTTCAAATGATTTATGTTAACGTAAGAAATATTCAAACTATAAAAAATAAAAATAATTTGTGAGTTTATTTGAGCCAAACTGTCGACAATTGCTGGGAAGCAGAATCTTAATGAATTAATAGTCCAGAGAATGGCAGTTTTTCACCTTGTTTTATACATTACAGTCAAAGGAGGAGATGTGAGTTATATGAACTCCATTAGTGATAGATTAGGGAGGTGGGAGGAAGCAAAGCAGGGAAACCTCTGGGATTGGGTAAAAAATAAAGTGACATACCTTTCTGTTACTTAAGTGGGTACAAGATAGTTAACAGTCAATTAACTCAGTGAGGATTTGTGGTCTCCACAGAGCAGAGCCTGTGCTTTGAGAGGGTCCAGAAAAAAAGGAAAATTACTTTGACATTCCAACGATATGTTATCATACATACACAAAGACAATAGGCTCAGATAAGTAAGGATTTACCTTTGTCAGGGAAGATATGCCTAGGACATTACTACCTCCATAAACTGCTTTTAATTTTAAAAGTTTTCATTTCAGACCATCCTTCGTGGTTACTTTAGGTATCTGAGTTTGCAAGGCCACCAAGCAGGCATTCCCTGAGTTAGGTCAGTATGTGGCCCCTTTTCGTCAACACTTACAATAAACACCTTCAAGTTTGTTCGCCTTTTGGTACAGGCATTTGTTGGTATAAAGCTCAGCACGTTATTTTTTACTCTCTGTCTCCCTCTGCTGCTGAGATAAGAACAAATCAAATAGAAGCTTCCTTCCCCTCCCTTTTATTCAGTGTCTCTTTGCCTTGCCTTTATCAAATGCAGCCTCCAAGGGAAGATCTTGAGAATTCAATGGACCTCAATCCTAGTGGCTCCATCTCAAATGAGATGCCTTAGGAAGCCTCCTGCAGTGCCTGGCAGCAGGGCCGGACAGGAGGTGGGCGGGCAAGAATTTAGCACCCCTTAAAAAAACATTCTTTGATTTATTCAATGTGTATTTGTTAGAGATGAGGGAACTGGTTTTCTATTGCTGAAAACCATGAACCTTGATATAAGCTGTCTAGTTATTTCCTTCTCCAATATAAAAACTCCCACAAGAGTGTGAGTTTAGAGATGACTGAGCAGAGGTAAGTGGAAGCTGTAGGGCAAATGAAAGTTACTATGGCTCAGAGCCTTTCTTCAAACATCACAACTGACCATCTCTTCTCCAGGCATCAAGAGCAGGCCTGTCAGCTGCTGGATCTCCCCCCTTTCCCCTAAATGCACCCTATTCTCCTGGTCCCTTCCCACTCCCTTCCTAGGATCTCCCTCCCTCCCCCCCCCACTCTCCCTCCCTCCCTCCCTCTCCCTCCCTCTCTCTCTCTCTCTCTCTCTCTCTCTCTCTCTCTCTCTCTCTCTCTCTCTCTCTCTCTCTCGTTTATTGCTGTTCTAACCACATACTTCAAGCTTACATGTCCTCGCCCATTACTAAATCCCATCTTTGAGAGTATTAAGTATCCATCATACTGAGGGTGAGATTTTAGCTTTCCTCACAAAAATGTCTTTCAGTTACCAAGATTCTTCTTTCCTACAAGGTGGTTTCTTTTCACAATTTCCAATGCACTGACTGGGAGCAGGACCAATTTGCATTCATGTGGGAACCTGAGTTAAATGGTTCCCTATTTCCAATTATTCCAGTGACATAGGGTGTTGCTTGTAAATTAGTACCCACCCCGGCAAATGCAAATGTTTAAACAAATGCCAACTGAGTGAAGGGGGTTTCCAACTAGTCTTTCCCTGAACTGGGTTTGTATTCCCATCCTTGCCTGTTGCCTCTGTGGGAACTTCATAGAGGGACTACTCAGATCATATGGGGAGAAAAGAGCAGTTCCATCATCTTTTTAACAATAGACTGAGCCAGTCGCAGGCAATTGCTCAGTGGAAGGGAAAGGCTGAAGAATTCACTAAGGGAAGGAAAACGAATCGTCTCCATTAAGAGGCCTGAGGAAAATTTGCTGGGCTTGTGATAGCTCAGCAGAGCCTCATTAATGGCTTTAACCTGAAAAAAGATAAAACATCTAATCATTGCTTGTCCATGCTCCTTCGGCATGGAGTCTGTCACCACAGGGAAAAGAGCACAGTGGAGCCAAATACAGCAATAATGTATTTATTTAGCGCCTGCTGCATGCTGGGCACTCTACTGAGTTCTCCGTTTGCATCTCAGCCCACCGACAACTTCGTTTGATGTGCTATTCCCGTTTTACAGACATTTAAAAAAGTTAGCTTTCCCAAGGCCTTGTGACTGTTCAGAAGTGGCATCGAAGTCAACCTACAGGTCTGCAAAGTTTGTTTCTGCAGAGGTTTGGGGAAACAACATCAGCCCTTCCTTCTCTCTCACCCGCCTGGCGCTGAAGACTCACAGGTGACACACTGTTCATTGGTCTCTTCCTGTCAGCTGTAAGCCCAGTGCTTCCTCCTGCCCCGTGTCTGTCCACATCGTCATCTCCTGAGCCAGTGAGTCACTCTCCATCCATCCCACACACAGCC